TTGTCTCTTAAATTCAACAGATGAGTGAAATCATACGATATTTGTCTTTCTTTGTCTCACTTATTTCACTTCGCATTATACCCTCTAGGCCCATCCATGTTGTTGCTTCCTTTGGCTACTCAGAAGCACATTTTGCTTGCGTGGGCTTCTAGGGCCTGTGCAGAAAGCCGGGCTTGCGGAGGCCTCCCGGCACTACACGGGGTGAAAGGAACCCAGCACTCAGAATCACAGATGGGCTCCTGTTCGGGTCCACATCTTGGAGTCCTGGATGAAGCACAGACAGGGAGTGAGCACAGACCTCCCTCTCCACTGCCCAGACACACAAGCTCCCAAACTAACTCCGCTCCTGCACTTGGAACTCCCTGCCCATAAAACAGGGGTAACGATACTTAAACCAGTACCCGTTGGGGGGAGGGGGTGACAAAAGAGGTCTCAGCAGTAGCCACTGTCATTTGAAAGAAGCAAGAGTTCCTAACTTTTATCCATTTGATCCCTTAGGTGGGGTCAGAGCAGTATCCCGGGGATGTTTCAATGTCTGGCGTCCATATGCTTATTTTACTCATTACAACAACAGGCGCTTGCTACTTCCTCTATGTGCATTTATCTCATTTAATTTCGCAGAATCCCTGTGCTGCCAGTAGCATTATCTTCGCCTTATGGCTGAAGAATTGGAGGTTTAGGAAATACCTGCCAGTCCCCCTCTCCCCCCCACCACCAGCTAGGAAGTAGAGCCAGCAATAAACCTCAGGTTCCAGCGAAAATTGTTACTGGAATGTCTACCGCCTGAGCTTGGCAGGTTCCCACCCTTGCTCCAGGGCGGTGCCCCGAGAGCTTTGGGGAATTCTGGAGACATTTGGCTGTTCCACTCCCTGGGGGCATGGGAGAGACTGCTCTCATTGAAGGGGGCAGGCTACTAAAAGCAGAACAGTACCACACCATGAAGAATTGTCCCCACTGCCATGCCAAGGATGCCCGGTGAGGATCACTGGGAGGACTGCAGAAGAATGTTCTAGCCCTGGTCTCATTTGGTAATTGGGTCTTCGTTCTCATCACAACCGTAGATGACTGGTCCCTGATGGCATGAGCACTCTGCTTTTGGAACAAATTCATTTAAAGAAAAGGAAAGAAAACAGCTAAACACTAAGAACCCACTGGAGTACGTATCTCCAGTGAGCTAAAATCAGCTTCTTTAACAATCTGATACGGTCTTGGGGCTGGGTTGAAGGCACATGCTTAAGTCAAGGTTCATAGGTGAGTCTTCAGGAAAGACCCCTGTTACAGTCCACGGCTGTTCAGCCCCAGGCAACTTCCGTGAGTGCCCAGTGACTCCTCAGTGCCCCTCAGATGCTGCCACTGCCCTACTCAGGCCCACTGGGCCCCAGGGCCTCTGTCGGCACCTCACCTGGCCCCTCTGCAGCCTCCCCCTGTCCGTCTCCAACTGAACCTTGTTCTGACCTTGGAGCGCCCCCACCTCATGTAGAGCCTGCCCACCTGTACCACAGGTCATAAACCAGGCCCTCCTGGGCAACCGGAGGGCCATCGCCCAGCTGTTTGTCAACCTGATGGAGGCCACGCTGCAGCAGGAGCTCGAGGGCCATCGCCGCTGGCAGGGCCTGGTGGACACCTGGAAGGTTCTCAAGAAGCAGGTCCTGGTGCAGAGTTTCAGGTCCGTGTCCGCCCACACTTCCCGCAGCCTCCCCCCAGCCCACCTGGAAGGCCGGCCCAGCAAGCCGGTGGTCCTCACCCTCCTTTCTGTCCTCGCTCCAAAACACTCCCGTTCTTCTGGGGGTAAAAATATGTGCTCTTTTCTTTGTTAAAAGTTAAAGTAGATAAAAGTATAAAAAAGAAATTAAAAATCATTACTAATTTCTCACCACAGTGAGAAGCACAGCTGATATTTTGGTGTATTTCTTCCCAGGCTTCTTTAGACCCATACTGTATATGTCACTTTCTGTCTTATTTTCTTCATAAATGTTATCGCATAAGCATTTTCTGAATTATCACAGTACAAATTGTTTGAAAACACCCGTCTGATTATCTGCCCAATTTCCATTCGACTGTTACTCAGAACCCTGTGTTACTGGGCCAAGACGAATGGCGGTCCCTCAGGCTTTGGTCCCCATGGGAGCAGGGGTGAAGAGAGGGCTCATCTCCCTGCTTCCTCTGCCAGGTGGCACTTCTGTTAATACCGACACAAGGATCCTGCAGCTTTTGGCCAACAAACAAGGCTTTCTTTTGCTTGTCAGGTCAAGACGTTTGAGGATGCCAAAGAATGTCTGTCTGTCTGTCTGTGCTGTGGGTCTGGGGATGGGAGGCCATCTGTACACCTGGATTTCCAGATGGAGAACACCGGAGTCTGACACCCCGGGTGAAAGAAAAGCGTACTAAGACCTGGCTCCACCTGTACTTTCCCTGTGACCTTGATCAAGCACTTGAACATTTCGGAGCCTTTCTCTCCTTATGCAGACAGGCAAGATGATGCGCCAGTGATAGGGTTTCAGTGATGATCAGCAAGGTGCTCTATGGAAAGTGACTGGTCTGGGTCTGGGCCTGGAAGTTACAAATGTCAGTAATCATCCACAGTGATGGCAGGAGCTGGCATTTACTGGGCAGTTCCCGTTAGTCAGGCATGGTGCTAAGGGCTTTGCTGACTGGGTCCTACTGTGGAAGGTATTCTCATTAGCTCCGTTACAGAAGAGGAAACAGATTCAGAGGAAGGGACTGACTTGCCCAAGGTCACAGAGCTGGCTGGCCACAGTCGGGACCCACACCCGGATCTGTGCCCAGTGGTCCCATGCTCTTCACTCCAGAGTCTCGCTGGTGGCCCCCTGGCTCTTCGATCCCCCCTCTCATCGTTGCCCCAGAGGCCTACAATGGGGAGGGAGGGGCTGAAGTGGTGTAAGGGTGCTTAGATTGTGAATGTTCTTA